CTACTACTACTACTACTACTACTACTACTACTACTACTATTATTATTATTATTATTATTATTATTATTATTATTATTATTATTATTATTATTATTATTATTATTAAATGCCCAGTTAACATTATTATTCTCTGGACAATGCAGTGAAACAAAAATGAGGGTGCCCCATCTAAAGGAAAATATAGATTTCAAAATGTCGTTAGCATAAGTTAACAAATGTTAACAATGTTAGGATTATGTTAACAAATGTGCCTCCTCTTTTTCCCCAGATAAAATAGTAGAGCTTTGTTCTGTATCTTCTCCATCTGTCAGGGAACCTGGATAGATGTTAGGGTCAAAAATAAGGAAGGTGGGGAATAATGGGGATGAAAGGAATCTGGGAAATATACAAAATGCTAAAAGAGAGGGATGAAACTGACTTATGATTAGTTCGGAGTATGCACGCCCATGATTTTCAATATTTGCAAGGCACACCTCTGGTCAGCTGGCCTCACTTTCAGATTCATGAGTGGCTTCATGAAAGAAGATTATTCTTCCCATACCATCTTCTGTATAATTTGGAACAGTAGGAGCACACAGATAGGCAATATTTTTGGGCACTGGCAATGACAGTTGGATGAAATTGGTAGCAGTGGGGAATAGTGCAAAAATGGTCACTGAAAATAACACCTGGCCTGTGTGTTTTCTACCCTCTGGCTTCAGTAGCAGAATAGGATATAGAATATGTTTGTCTTTTCCATTGATGTAGCCCAAATCATCACACTTCATCTGATCCTGCACCAGCTATAAATCTGGCCATGTTATTGTACATAGTTGACCCATATCAAAATTCCATTGTAGTATCAAATTGCTTAGCTGCTTTCCATTTGTTGATTTGTGGTTTCCTCCTGTTTCTTGATCTTTGATCTCCCACTGAGCCATAAGAAGTAAATATCTGAAATTTAGATATTTAGATTTAAATTTAAATATTATTTACAAGATGGCTTAGTTATGGTGACACTGTAGATAACTATCCACCTAGGAGATTGCTATATCATTTTAATAATAGGAAATACTGGAAAGAGAAAAATAGAAGGCATATACATGAGGCCATGTAAAAATTACTAGCATGATACAATATATAGGGTACTTTCCCCTAATCTGAGTGATTTCCAGTTGCATAGATTTAAATACCTTAAATAATAACCTCTGACTAGAGCATTTTTCCAAATGGCAAAAGATTGTTATGAATATAAATCTATGCAGTGCTTTTTTTGTAAAAAAAAAAAAAAAAAAGGTGCCAGAACTCACACACGTCATACAACCCGCCTTGCCTACCCTACAAGGTTCCATCCAAAAAAGGTGCCGGAACTCCATTCTGGGCATTCTATGACAAAAAAAGCCCTGAATCTATGTAACCTAACATAATTAGGCATGATCACTACTATTAATTCTGATGGTCTCAAGCATGCCTAACATTATAGTTTTAATTAAAATTATGTGTAAGTTCCTTTCTGCTCTGATCCATAATCCTGTTGAAATTGCCTTTCAAATCTATGCAGCTGCTCTTTTTTAATGTTTGTTGAAGTCTGAAATGAAAGGTGAGCACTTCTCTTTTAATACTCAAGAGGCGAGATAGGTTCCAGGAGAGTCACGTAACTATGAATGAATTTCTAAAAATGGAAATCCCACTCTCTAAGGATCCAGTGAAAGGGCAACTCTCATAATTCATCAACTTACTATACTAGCTAAGTAACTTATGTAAACAGGGTCTATATATGTACCTAAAATGAGTTTGTAGGCTTAACTGACATAGGTGGCTATATGTGATTGAGGACTCAGCATCAATTGACTTGCTTCTTCCTGAATTTCTCTATATAATTCACAGGATGTTCCAGAATCACCCTGAGACTCAAGAGCGCTTTGTCAAATTCAAAGATTTCAAGACTCTGGATGAGATGAAGAACTCAGAAGAACTCAAGAAACATGGAACCACAGTTCTCAGTGCTTTGGGTAAAATTCTGAAACAGAAAGGGTCCCATGAAGCAGAGCTGTCACCACTGGCACAAACTCATGCCAACAAGCATAAAATTCCAGTCAAATATTTAGAAGTAAGTATGTACTTGATAAGGATGATGGTGCAACTATGTATACCCAAAGAGCTAATTATTAAACAGAAAAGGAAAGGTTTGTATTCTGAATATGTGTAGGTCTGCTTACTAAATTTTAGAATGGATATATGAAGTTTTGATGAAATAAAAGGGCAATTTAGGAGTATAACATTGATAAAAATAATCTTTCAAGAGAAAGCAGTTAATTATTTGTTACCAGATTATGACACTACAAGGGTGATAGCATCTTTTTGACCTTGGTTGATCTCAAACAGAGCAAGCTGTTACTGAGATAACTACTAAATGGAGCAGCTCCAGAAAATCCCAGGACAGAAGATTAGATTGGGAAGTCCAAGAAGAAGGCAGTGACAAATGATTTCTGTGTCATTGCCATTCAAGAACACTATATGGGACTTCTGGTTAGGCGTTGTGGCATAATGGGTGCAGAAAGATGGGGCTCCACCTTCTGCATTCAATTTTGCCCCGCTGGGGACCCTAAAAAGGGTCGAAAGTCATTTCAGAGAGGTGACAAAGGAGAGGACCCTTGTTGATCATGGAGGGGTGGGCACCCCTCTATTTGATCCAAGGAAGCCCCCCAAACTGGCGGGGGAAAGACTGGCTACACTTTTGTGGCCAGTCAGAAGCTGCTGACAACCAAAGAAAATAAGCACTAACGAGTAACTTTTGAGCAACATGGATGGAACTGGGTGAGACTATATCCTCTCTTTATGATTTTAAGACTTTTTCCTGGAAAAAAACCACCCAAAGCAAAGAATCCTCCCCGATAAGAGAGAGAAGGGGAATTTCCGCCCCATTGCCTCAGGAAAAGAAAAGCGGTAAACTAATTGCTTGAGGGAAAACAAGATTAATTTGGAACCAATACAGATATATAGCTGTGAAATTTGGGGACTAAAAGTTTTTTGAGACTTTTAGAAAAGAGACTTGAAAAGTTTGTAATATAAGTTTGGATTTAAAAAGCTGGAAGATGGCATTAATGACATCTAGTGGAGAACTATAGTACTACAATTATTATTAAAGGAACTTGGCTTGAAGCCCAGACTCAGATAAGACTTCAGTTGTCCTTGGAAACTTTCACTTTTGAAGACTGCAGCTGGGAAAAAGGAAAAAAAACTCTTGGGCTGCATATCTGTGTTGGGGACCCTATTGGACTACATACAAAAACAAAATAAGCATTCCATACTTAGCCTTAAATGGTAAAAAATCATCTTTAACACCTCTCTCCGAAGCTCCCAGCTTGATATACCAATAAGAAAATGTTAATGAATCTCAGAAAGAAATTCTTTCTATGTTGAAATCAATCCAACAGACAATTGTTTTATTTCATGATGAGACTAAAAATAATGCAAATGAGATAAAAAAACATTTTTCTAATCTAAACTTTCAAATTCAGACAATGACTACAACGAAGGAACTAGTAACCCAGAAAACAGAAAAAAAAATAGAAGAAATGGATCCAAAGATGGAGGACCTAAAGGAAGGAATTAACAGACAGATACAGACAAATGAAAAATTAGAAGATGCAGTGGTAATACCGGAAATAGAAAAGATATCTCACTTGTCAAGATCTCAGAATAATTTGAGGATAAGGAAGAAGAGCTGATCGAACAGATGATAAAGCTGTTAGGAGAAATGCTGAATATTGACAAACAAGAAATGAAAAGAAAAACTGAAGGAGAAAGATGGAGGTTGTTTAATGAATATAAATGGGTTGAGCATTCTTCCAAAAATATTTCAATCAAATTCTCTTCCTCATTCCAAACAATATATACAAAAAACAGAGGAAGAATTACTTGATGATTCAAATATATTGACTTGGAAAGTTATTTGGCAAAGGAAGAAAGCTAGAGTAAGACTAAAGAAAATAGAGGTTTTGACCTATTAGATGGGATATTATACTATTAAATAGATGTTTGAATATGGTTTAGAAAATAGTTAACTGTTAGATATAAAAGTATTATTACAATTAGAAGGATAGGAATTGTAAGTAGAATATTATATTTTGTTATGAGATGGGAAATATGAAAATTCTAAAAGCGTTTGAATAAGAGAAGCCTTTGGTTAACCAAATATAATTTATTATGAGAAAATTATAAGCGATAGAAATACAGTACTTTGAACATTGAGGATATTGATTGAACAAATGGATTTTAAGTGCAAATGCAATTGAGATATGTTTTGGCTAGAAAAGATATTACAAACTGTCACTATCGATATTATATACAATACCAGAAAAACGTGATGAAGATGTCTATATTTAATTGTATATGTATTAACAGTAACAAGAATTGTATTTGCCCAGTGTGAAAAAATGCATACTATCGGAAGAACTGGAACTAGACTGAGAAAGTTAATATGTACCACTGAATTACCAATGGACCCACACAACACGTTGTTTATTAAGTACTTATGAATGTAAAATTAGAAAATTAATAAAATATTTTTAAAAGAACACTATATGAACATATCTACATAGTCAACAGAAGTCAAAGAGGACTTTACCTTTTAAAATGTTGAAGATCCAACTTTACTGCTAAGACAAAGAATCTGTGCCTTATTTGCAATTAGACTTTTTGACCACTGATGCTACCCCAGGTCAAGCAGGTGGTTGGACTAGAAGACCTCCAAGGCCCCTTATTCTCTGTTCTGCGTTCTAAATAGAAAGAGAAGTAAATATATCAAGTCAGCTGCCACACCATCTAACTGCCCATACAGCGAAATCTTGTCCTAGGAAGATAAAATATTGAATTTGCCAAAGTTTATCGAGAAATCATCAGATGATCACACTCTGCCAGTAGTTATTACCAATAAATGGTAACTATGGATTACCCAAATAAAAACTGGACAATGCAGCCCCTAAAGGAGAATATTTGTAGGTCAGGATTGAAATGAGCAGTCCTTATGCTTGTTTGTTTTCTTGCAGTTCTTTCATTACCTGAACTAAGTAATATCATCAGTGCTAGTCACTACACTGATGATGTTACCTAGTTTGGGTAATGAAATGACTGCAAGAAAACAACCAAGTCAGAAAGCACCAAGGATCCCTCAGCGCAGCCTCTCTCATTTGATTGAATTTGCTACCTATTGATTAATAAAAGCAAAAATGAAAAAAAGAGAAAGGAAGGGACACAAAGCTGTAATTTCTAGTAGCTGAATAGCAGACTAATGGCCATTCTGGTTTAACAATAATTCTGATTTGTTGCACAGGGAAAGCAGACCCCATTTGATTAAATTGGCACAATGTACATTTTTGAGGGTTCAGTTAGAATGGTGTAGTGATTAAGTATTGGATCATAATCAAGGGGATCAGGGTTCAAGTCCACTATAAACCATAGATGCTCAGTTGTGGAGGGAGAAATACAATGCCTTTTGCTGGTGGAAAAAAAAATCAGGATTTAAATCTAACAAACAAATAAATATATAATGACACTACTTGAAAGATGCAGTTCAATAGTGAATATATAAAATAGTTTATCTATGGTCAAATAGTCCAACTTTATATTTCTCTTTTTGCTCTGCACAATCTTGACCTTTAAATCATTCCTAAGGCATCAAGGATTTGACCTTTCATCACTCTTTGGCATTTAGAAGACACCTTCAAAGCTTTCACCAGCTTACTTTGTAAGCCCCATAAACAAACATTGTCTGGGATTTCTTGTTGGAGCTGTTCCATGTCCAGATCTTTTTCCTTGATTAGTTTTTTGGTAATCTCAATTTTGTTTACTTCCATGCCTTCAAACTCTATGTCAGATAAAAGTTTTTAAAAACGTTTTTATCATTATCTTCTAAAAGTTTATCCACTGAAATCTGTATTCTTTTTGATACACTAGTTACAGGTGGCCTTCAACTTATGACCACAATTGAGTCCAGAATGTATGTTGCTAAGTGAGAAATTTGTTGAGAGTTTTGTCCCATTTTACCTCTTTTCTTGCCACATTTGTTAAGTGAATCACTGCAGTTGTTAAATTAGTAACATGGTTACTAATCTGGCTTCCCCATTGACTTTGCTTGTCAGAAGGTTGCAAAAGACAGTCACATGACCCTGGGCCATTGCAACCGTCATAAATATGAACCAGTTGTCAAGCATTCAAGTGTAAATCATGTGACCATGGGGATGCTGCAGTGGTCATAAGTGTGAAAAATGATCATGTCCCTTTTATCAGTGCTGTTGTAACTTTGAACGGTCACTAAACAAACTGTTGTAAATACCAATATCAATAGGAAGGTTTGCAATCTTTTGGGAACTTGTTCCAAAAGAGAATAAAATATGAAAACCTTTCCTTTTTTTTTGACAAGAAAAAGTGTGCACTTCTTAGCTACCACATTAGAAAGGAAGAACAGAGAGAGGAGGAATGTATAGCTCAGGCAAATGATTTATTTTACAAAGCTCACTTAACTTCAGGAATGAAATAAATCACAATTGTAGATAAGGAGAAAAATGTTGCAGAAGTGTAAATACTATTTGCTATATTGTTTGGACTAAAGAGAAAGGAAGAAGATACATATGAATTAGGCTCATAGACATAAGGAACCTCTGAAGTAGAAACATTCTCTCCCAGTTAAATCAATTAAATTATTTAATTAATGAAATTTATTTGCCGTCCATCTTGTATCCAATGACTCTGGGCAGCTTACAGCATAAATTAATAATCCTTCCAGGTCCATTGTAAGAATTGAACTTCACTGCAAGATATGTTACCTTAAATATGAGTTATGCCACAACTTGTCAACTCAGGTATAGTAGTACTAGTGCATGTATTTGACTTCCATTAATTCAGTTATGTAATAATAACAACAGGGTACATTAACTGTCCTGGGGAAACAATATTCTGTTCTTGGCAGCCAAGAAGAGGCTGTGAAGCTGCAAAAGCATCACCATTGATCACAGTGCATGCAGCAGAAATAAATGCATATTTCCTTATACTTTCCCACTAGAAAGAAATAACTTTTCTCTTTACCAGTGGCCCCGGGACAGCAATAACATTGGTGGCTATTGATCAGTGAAGCAAATCCTTCTGGATTGTTTTTGGTTTGGTTTTAATGAACTGAATCTCTTTAGAGATCATTTCATTTAACCGTAAAGAATGCATGAGGTTACAATATGCAACTCTTCAGTTGTTAATTGACTACAATTCCCAGCATCTTTCATATCTGTTGGGAATTGTAGTTTATAATATCCTTCACTCTGATAGCTAAGAGTAACAGAGCTGTAATGCCGCAATATCTAGAGGACCTTATACCTCTCTCCCACCAGTAGAGATATGGATGAGCCAACCTTTGACTTAGGTCTGAGACACTTACATGTTAAGAGAAAAATGTTAAGTATTTATTATTTATATTTTCTCCTTTCTTGCCCTGACCAAGGTTAACATAAAGCTATCATGTTCCTTGCTTTGATGTTTGACATTTATTTGACATTTTTAGCACACTCTCACTTTCTGTCTCTTCCCCCCCCCCCTTTTTTTTTATCCCTGCCCTTATTTCTCTTTGCCACCATCGATTCTTCTTATATAGTTTATTTCTGAAGTCATCATTGGTGTCATTGCTGAAAAACATTCTGCAGATTTTGGAGCTGATTCTCAAGAGGCAATGAGGAAAGCCTTGGAGTTGTTCCGGAATGATATGGCCAGCAAATACAAGGAACTTGGATTCCAAGGCTAGTAAGGAAAGAAGATGTCATCACTGGGAAGACTTAGTGTGCATAGGTGTGTGGTCAGTTTAGGAGAATATTTTCATGTCATCACAGGAAAATAGCTTGAATAAATTGAATAATGTTAATGCTGTACTTGAGGGTAGCAAGGTATGTTGTCCAAAATCTCTAATGTCTGCTAAGGCCACTTTGGCTGAGACTTAAGGGACTAAACCAATACATTTGGAGGCTATCTAATGAGGTCAAGAGGGAGGATTAAAGAGCTAGAAAGATGGAGGTGAAATGACTGGATATATAATCATTATACCACTTTTTAGTTCTGTGGAATGGTCCTCAAACTCACCATCTGCAGCCAGGTTCTGATGCCAGATAAATAGAGAGAGCAAATTGGGGAGCAGATTGTATGCCATATTCGTGGGTCATTGGTTTAAATGCAATCTCCCTTGGGATGGATAATCATGTGCTCCAGTGTTTTGTGTGTAATTAATGGAATTAAAATTGTATTAAATTTAGAGTTGCCACTTTTGTATGAGTATGATTCTGATACTACTCAAAGATGAAGCACATCCCTTTGTCTAAAAATAATTCTATGCTGCTGCTGCTGCTGCAGCTTTAAGTGTGATGGAAAACTTGCGTTGAAGTACACACCGAACCTAATAGTTGACTCCTAGGAAAACTAGACATCGTGAAGAATTATTTTATAATTAATATATATTACCTTTGTCGACGTACATCAGAAATGTATAACGAATCAAGTACTGACCGAGATGCTACTATATAATCATAAGTCTTTGTCTAGCCTTTTCATAAGTCTTTCCACTAAGTCTTTCAATCTCAGAAAGGTGAATGAAGATAAGGTTTCTAGTTCCTGACTGGTATATAGTATCCCTTGCTATTTAAATTGACTTGTATAGCAAGTCCTACCTGAATATTGCTATGTATATTATACAAGATTTTCTCCTCACCTGAACAAGCAAAGAGGGGAAAGAAATATAAGTATTTCTACTGGCTAGGGCCAAGGTAAAACTACAAGTAATTTTGTAAAATCAAAAGCTAGGAAACCCATAACCAATGACTTTCAAATTGTGGTTTACGGAGTCTATAGAGGTGATCCACCAGGTGATCCATCACAACCTTCCCGTGTTCATGGAGCAGATCCAACTCACCACTATAGCTTGTTTTCTCCAAACACCAAGAGATAATAGGTGGGAATCCATTTTCTCCCTCAATCCCTGACTTTGTGTGCCAAGAGTTAAATGGTTTATAAGAATGGATTACTACTGAAAAGTAGTTCATTAAACCATACAAGTATCCATAAGTGTGGTATAAGGTTAAGGTTTTGGACTAGGAGCAGAATGGTCTAGTCCAGGGGTAGGCAACCTTGGCTCTTTTATGACTTGTGGACTTCAACTCCCAGAATTCCTGAGCCAGCATGGCTGGCTCAGGAATTCTGGGAGTTGAAGTCCATGAATCATAAAAGAGCCAAGGTTGCCTACCCCTGGACTAGTCCATCATGAGCTGTGGAAACTCTCTCACAGGGTTGCTGTTGCGAGGACAAATAGGAGGAGGGAGCATTATGAATACCATGTTGAATACCTGTAGAAAAGTGTGAGTGTGGGGGTATAGATCTAACAAATTTAAGTTCTAAAATTCAGATTTTATAGTTTACCTTTTGATCACCACTGATTTACATTTGTTCAAAGTATAATTGATTATTCCAGTTTTCTATGACTGTTGAGAAATGATAGGGTTTTACCTCCATCCTAGGTTGTATGCGTTTCTTGAGTTGCTAGAGAAACAGTGTGTTACATAAATGCTCACCACTGTCTGCCTAATATAATACTGTTTTCTGCACAAAAGGACAAGTGCTACCATGGAAGCAGGACCAGGCTTGTGAGTGAGCTAAATTCTGCATCAGCAGCAGTTGCTCTTGTCAGTCTCAGCTGAATAGTAGCTGTGTATAGAAAGTATATTAAGACAACTTTATATTATTAAAGGCAGTTACAGACCTATCATCCTGACCTCAATACCTGGGAAGATTCTGGAAAAGATAATCAAACAACGAATTAGCGAACACCTACAGGCAAACAAAGTCATTACTAAAAGCCAACACGGGTTTGTCAAAAACAGATCATGCCAGACAAATCTTATTGCATTCTTTGACCAAGTGACAAAATTAGTGGACCAGAGGAATGCTGTGGATATAATTTACTTGGACTTCAGTAAGGCATTTGACAAAGTAGATCACAACCTACTACTTGATAAGANCAACTTCATGTGTGGCTTGGATTATCAACTGAGGATCCTTTTGATCTGTAGCACTTCTTAATAAAATATTAATTATATATAATGGAAACAGCTGCATGTAGTCTTTACATATTGCTTAGTTCATGACTGGCTCTACGATGATATATTAGTATTCAGAAACAGATCGGAAAAGTATTCAGAAAGGTGATTCAGAAAGTTATTCAGAAAAGTGAATGAAGATAAGGTTTCTAGTTCCTGACTGGTATATAGTATCCCTTGCTATTTAAATTGAATTGTATAGCAAGTCCTACCTGAATATTGCTATGTATATTATACACGATTTTTTCCTCACCTGAACAAGCAAAGAGGGGAAAGAAATATAAGTATTTCTACTGGCTAGGGCCAAGGTAAAACTACAAGTAATTTTGTAAAATCAAAAGCTAGGAAACCCATAACCAATGACTTTCAAATTGTAGTTTACGGAGTCTATAGAGGTGATCCACCAGGTGATCCATCACAACCTTCCCGTGTTCATGGAGCAGATCCAACTCACCACTATAGCTTGTTTTCTCCAAACACCAAGAGATAATAGGTGAGAATCCATTTTCTCCCTCAATCCCTGACTTTGTGTACCAAGAGTTAAATGGTTTATAAGAATGGATTACTACTGAAAAGTAGTTCATTAAACCATACAAGTATCCATAAGTGTGGTATAAGGTTAAGGTTTTGGACTAGGAGCAGAATGGTCTAGTCCAGGGGTAGGCAACCTTGGCTCTTTTATGACTTGTGGACTTCAACTCCCAGAATTCCTGAGCCAGCATGGCTGGCTCAGGAATTCTGGGAGTTGAAGTCCATGAATCATACAAGAGCCAAGGTTGCCTACCCCTGGACTAGTCCATCATGAGCTGTGGAAACTCTCTCACAGGGTTGCTGTTGCGAGGACAAATAGGAGGAGGGAGCATTATGAATACCATGTTGAATACCTGTAGAAAAGTGTGAGTGTGGGGGTATAAATCTAACAAATTTAAGTTCTAAAATTCAGATTTTATAGTTTACCTTTTGATCACCACTGATTTACATTTGTTCAAAGTATAATTGATTATTCCAGTTTTCTATGACTGTTGAGAAATGATAGGGTTTTACCTCCATCCTAGGTTGTATGTATTTCTTGAGTTGCTAGAGAAACAGTGTGTTACGTAAATGCTCACCACTGTCTGCCTAATATAATACTGTTTTCTGCACAAAAGGACAAGTGCTACCATGGAAGCAGGACCAGGCTTGTGAGTGAGCTAAATTCTGCATCAGCAGCAGTTGCTCTTCTCAGTCTCAGCTGAATAGTAGCTGTGTATAGAAAGTATATTAAGACAACTTTATATTATTAAAGGCAGTTACAGACCTATCAGCCTGACCTCAATACCTGGGAAGATTCTGGAAAAGATAATCAAACAACGAATTAGCGAACACCTACAGGCAAACAAAGTCATTACTAAAAGCCAACACGGGTTTGTCAAAAACAGATCATGCCAGACAAATCTTATTGCATTCTTTGACCAAGTGACAAAATTAGTGGACCAGAGGAATGTTGTGGATATAATTTACTTGGACTTCAGTAAGGCATTTGACAAAGTAGATCACAACCTACTACTTGATAAGATAGAAAAATGCAGGTTAGACAGCATCACCACCAGATGGATCCATAGCTGGCTGACTGGCCATACTCAGCGTGTGATCCTCAATGGAACCGCATCTACATGGAGGGAAGTGTGTAGTGGGGTGCCCCAGGGCTCTGTTCTGGGCCCAGTGCTCTTCAACATCTTCATCAATGATTTGGCAAGGGGATAGATGGGGAACTCATCAAATTTGCAGACGACACCAAGCTGTCAGGAATAGCCAACACTCCAGAAGACAGGCTTAGGATATAGGAGGATCTGGACAGACTTGAACACTGGGTGCTATCTAACAAAATGAAATTCAATGGTGAAAAAAGTAAGGTTCTACATTTAGGCAAGAAAAACCAAATGTACAGGTATAGTATAGGGGGTACCTTGCTCAATAGTAGTAACTGCGAGAGGGATCTCGGAGTCCTAGTGGACAATCATTTAAATATGAGCCAGCAGTGTGCTGCAGCTGCCAAAAAAGCCAACACAGTGCTAGGCTGTATTAACAGAGGGATAGAATCAAGATCACGTGAAGTATTAATACCACTCTACAATGCCTTGGTAAGGCCACATTTGGAATACTGCATCCAGTTTTGGTCACCACAATGTAAAAAAGATGTTGAGACTCTAAAAAGAGTACAGAGAAGAGCAACAAAGATGATTAGGGGACTGGAGGCTAAAATATATAAGGAACGGTTGCTGGAATTGGGTATGTCTAGTTTAACGAAGAGAAGGACGAGGGGGGACATGATAGCAGTGTTCCAATATCTCAGGGGCTGCCACAAAGAAGAGGGAGTCAAGCTATTTCCCAAAGCGCCTGAAGGCAGGACAAGAAGCAACGGATGGAAACTGATCAAGGAGAGAAGCAACTTAGAACTAAGGAGAAACTTCCTGACAGTTAGAACAATTAACCAGTGGAACAACCTGCCTCCAGAAGCAGTGAATGCGCCAACACTGGAAGTTTTTAAGAAGAGACTAGACAGCCATTTGTCCGAAATGATATAGGGTTTCCTACCTGAGCAGGGGGTTGGACTAGATGACCTCCAAGGTCCCTTCCAACTTTATTACTACTACTACTACTACTATTATTATTATTATTATTATTATTATTATTATTATTATTATTATTATTATTATTATTATTATTATTATTATTATTATTATCATTATTATTATTGAGATTGGCAGCTGGTTAGTCATTTCTTTGCCCCTCCTACTAGCAAGCCCAAGGCTGAATAAACATTATGTTATTTTAGGCTATTTTTTTTCAGGCCATCCAACAGTTTTTGGATAGATGAAGACCACACAGGGAATCTGGATGGATCACACCTGTCTATGGGGCCAGAAGTTTCAATATTTTCCCCTTCTGAGCTTAAGGAGAGCCTTAATATTTTCTTTGTTTTTAAAATTGTGCTATGCTTGCTTGAAGGTAATTTTTGGGTTTTTTCCTACCTCTAAATTTGGAGGTGTCATGTAGATCTGGAATTAATGTTTGTCTAGCTGTGACACAAGTACTTAAATACTCATAGGCCTTGAATATATGACCAGTTTATGTTAGTTTGATAGTGCTTGTTAGCATTAGAATTATCCATTGAGTTATGATAGGGTTAGCAACATGTGATCCAAGCAGTTCTATAAATAAATAGCTGCAACTTTGTTCAATTATATAAAATATGGAGCTGGTGGAGTATTGAACTTTCCAGCAGGAGAAGATAGAAGAGTT